AAAACACTATGGGTCCAACAAAATTAACTGATTTCTTCTAAATGTTCATTCATTTGCTCTCTCCTGAGAGCAGCAAAAGATCTGGATAGATGAAAAGACACACTTACAAACTTTTCACCTGACTATTTTCACTTGCTACCATGATGCCTTTGATGCTTTTAGGTGTCTTGTAATCCTAATAGAATCTAAGCTTTTGAGGGGAAGTGAAGGAGCCCAGAATCATGTTATATTTCTTTGACTTCTGCTACAGTAGTTCTCACACAGAAAATGTGAGATAAATGTTCGCTCATTTTTTGATTACCTTCCACACAGTATAAAAATTTCAACAATAAATTTAATTCAGAAAGGTGGATAGCATGGTTGTTGAGTACTTGAACACTATGGTTGGGCAGATTTAATTTCCCATCTTGACATTGCTGTTTACTAGCTGTTTCTTGACCTTCCTAAGCCTTGTCTTCGTTTTTTGTAAAATGGGGAGATAGTGGTATGGTTCTTGACACAGAGTATGCACTCAATAAATGTTATATTTATATATGTTATATTTGAGAAATTATCTTGTAAACAAGCTGTAATAGGTAAACCTATTAAATCTTTAGATGATTTTTTTAATAGCAGCATGACCACAATAGCCAAGAAATGGAAAGAGCCCAGATGTCCATCAACAGATGAATGAATAAAGATGTTACACACACACACACACACACACACACACACACACACACACACAATATTACCCAGCCATCAAAAGGAATGAAATCTTGCCATTTGCAATGATGCAGGTGGAACTAGAGGGTATTATGCTAAGTGAAATAAATTAGTCAATTGCTCCTCTTGTGGCAGGATTCTTAGTCAGAGAAAGAGAAGTATCACATGATTTCACTAATATGTGGAATTTTAAAGAACAAAACAGACGAACATAGAGGAAGGGAGTTTGCAATGAAGATGAAGGGAATGATAAAGAGAAAATATGTAACAGTGATTACGATATAGTAAATTTTCAGTAAATGTTAATTTTTGTTGACTTTATTGAAGGAAAAATGGTTTCAATAATTAAGACTAATTGTCAGCTTAAACCCCCCAGTTCCTTACTGTTTATGATTATGAGCTGTATAAACAAAAATTGGGGTTTTGATTTTATTGAGCACTTATCCATTGCTGGCAAGAATATAATTAGGTACAACCACTGTGGAGAAAAATTTGATAAAACCTCGTAAAGTTGACAATGCATATTTCCTCTCTAAGCAATTCCACAATATGGGCCTTACTTAGAATGTCACACATATGTACAACTCCTTGTACATGTATGTATTTGTATATGAGTAGCTATGTTTTGGTGATAGAAAAAAGTCTGAACAAGCTACATTCCCCTAATAGAAAAATGGATAAAGGATGAGATTGCAGCAGTTCAATCACATCTTCTTTATTTTAAATATTTATTTATTTTAGAGGGAGAGAGAGAGAGAAAGAGCACAAGGGAGGAGGAAAGGGAAAGAATCTTCAAGCAGACTCCCCACTGAGCAGGGAACTCAATATGGGCTTGATCTCATGAGCCATGGAATCACGACCTGAGTGAAACCAAGAGCCAGTTGGTTAATTGACTTAGCCACCCAGGCACTCCCAGGCTCCACTTCTGATTCTAGTTCTTTGGCTGTTTCCACCATATCAACAGTTCTGTCCTTCACTGAAGTCTTGACCCCTCCAGGTCATCCGTGATGATCAGAATGAATTTTTCTTCTAAACTCCCATTAATGTTGACATTTTGGCCTCTTTCCAGGAGTTACAAATGTTCTTAATGACATCTAAAATGGTGAATCCCTTCCAGAAGATTTTCAATTCATTGTGCTCAGATTCATCAGAGGAATCACTATCTATAGCAGCTATAGCTTTATGAAACGTATTTCTTAAATAATAAGACTTGAAAAACAAAGTTACTCTTTGACCCATGGGCTGCATGGATTGTTGCAATGGATGTTGCGTCAGCAGGCATGAAAACAACATTAATGATGTTTTTCATCTCTGTTAGAGCTCTCGAGTGACCAGGAGTATTGTCAATGAGCAATCATATTTTGAAAGGAATCATTTTTTCTGAGCAGATCTCGACAGTGGGCTTAAAATATTAAGTAAACCATGTCATAAACAGATGTGCCATCACCTAGGCTTTGTTGTTGCATGTATAGTGCACAGAGTAAAGCTAGCATAATTCTTAAGATCCCTAGGATTTTTGGAATGGTAAATGAGCATTGGCTTCAACTTAAAGTCACCAGCTTCATTAGCCCCTAAAAAGAAAGTAACCCTGTCCTTTGAAACTTTAAAACCAGGCATTGATTTTTCTTCTCTATCTATGAAAGTCCCATGGCATCTTCTTTTAATAGAAGGCTGTTTCACCTATATTGAAAATCTGTTGCTTGGTGTAGCCACCTTCATTGATTATCTTAGCTAGATCTTCTAAATAACTTGCTATAGCTTCTACATCATCGCTGTTTCACCTTGCAATTTTACATCTTGGAGATGACTTTTTTCCTTAAGTCTCATGAACCAACATCCCCAGCTTAAATTTTCTGTAGCTTCTTTGCCTCTTTCAGCCTTCACAGAACTGAAGAGAGTTAGAAACTTGCTCTGGATTAGGCTCTGGCTTAAGGCAGTGCTGTGACTTGTTTGATCTTCTATCTAGACCACTAGAACTTTCTCCATGTAAGCAGTAAAGTTGTTTCACTTTCTTATGATTTGTATGCTCACTGGAGTAACACTTCTAAATTCTTTCAAGAACTTTTCCTTTTCATTCACAAGTTGGCCAACAGTTTGGTACAAGAGACTTAGCTTTGGGCCTATCTCATGTCTTCCTTTACTTCCAACATGTCTTCCTCACTAAGCTCAATCATTTCTAGCTTTTGACTTTCAGTTCACAGATCTCTAACTGCTCCTTCCGCTTGAACACTTAGAGGCCATTATAGGGCTATTAAATGACCTAATTCCCATAATGATGTGTCTCAGGGAATATGGAGGTCTGAGGAGAGAGTGACAGGGAAACAGCTGGTTGGTGGAACAATCCAGAACACACATATTTATTCAATTCACCATCTGATATAGAGGCGGTTTGTGATACCCCAAAACAATTCGAATGGTAACGTCAAAGATCACTATCAAGAGGACCATAACAAATATAATAATGACGAAAAATATGAAATACTGCTAGAATTACCAAAACGTGACACACAGACACAAAATGAGCAAATGTGGGAAAAATTGTACTGATAGACTTGCTCAGTACAGTGTTGCCACAAATCTTTAAATTGTAAAAATAAAAAAAAAAGCAATACCTGCAAAGTGCAATGAAGTGAAGAAGAATAAAATGGGGTGTATTCTGCAATATGTGAAAGAACTGTTTTGACATCAAGTAGGATGATTGCTGTTCCTTATTTCCTTTGCCTTGTTACAGAATAGTATTCCATCTCATCACCTGTATTTTTGCCTTTGAATCATGGATCCTTAGTGTCTCCCAAGGCCTTAGAGTTAAAAGACAGGTTTCTACTTCCTTTCAATGAAAAGAAATTTTTAAATACACTCTTATTCTTCAGTGTTTTAGGTCTTTTAATAAAACAAACTAAAGGGACGCCTGGGTGGCTCAGTGGGTTAAAGCCTCTGCCTTCTGCTGGGGTCATGATCCCAGGATCCTGGGATGGAGCCCTGCATCCATCCGTGCTCTCTTCTCTGCGGGGAGTCTGCTCCCTCCTGCCTATCTGCTTCTGAGCTCTGTCAAATAAATAAATAAAATCTTTCCTTTTCTTTCTTTCTTTTTTTTTTTTTAGTATATGTGCTGCCGAAGCGAGCACTAAAATCTTAAAAAATAAATAAATAAAAAATAAACTAAATTATCCTTGTTTCTTATTTCATGAAGAACAAATGGTTTCTCTTGCCAGGGTCCACTCTAGAACCTCAAATTATTGACTATTTAAAATAGAAGATATGGAAACCTCTAGATTAAAAGAAGAAAGATAAAGGGCCCATAGACATAAATCCCTTACTCTTTCATATAAATGGAGGCTTATATGCCACCTGCTTTCATGTGAGTTATTGCATATCGTTTGTCAAGAGAAAGCATAATGCTTCAATAGTGTAAATTATTTTCCATAAAATATGTCTCTGTATATGCCTATATAGACCTAGGTAGAAAATTAAAAGGATATGTAGAAAATTTTCAGAATGTAAAATAATGCACCATTTCAAATAATCTTGTATTATTACCATGCACTAGAAAGAACAGATTATTATCGTTTAAAAAAAAAAAAAAAAGCCTTTTCCTGAGTCCTGTGACTGAATTTCGCGTCACGGTAGAATACTTAGGGAAGGCTAACTGGGCTAACTGAAGATTTCTGGAGCTGATACCTCATCTGGTTTCAAACACTAAGTAAACCAGCCTAAGTAAGCCGGCATTCCACATCAAAGAGACACCAACGGGACTGTGTGTTTTTGTTTTGATAAATCAAGCAAACAGCTCTTGTGTTCCATGTACGATGCCTTTCACTTGCAGTAACGTAATCATCTTTCATCATTTAGTAAATACATATTGAGCGGCTACAATTTGCCAGGCTGTGATGCTGCCGGGAAGAAAACACCAACCCGGTTCCTGTGGTGCTTACACTAAGGGGAGATACTGCCTATGTACCCCCAAAAAATCTCGCCACATAACCTAAATCTGTAAAACCTGGCTTGGGGAAACGGAAGAGCATGCACGCCCTTGGAGCGGCTGGAGGCCCTAAGCCGGTCGGCAGCCGGCGGCGACAAAAGCAGGAGACCCGCCCCGCGTCGCCGGGAGAGGCGCGCGGCAGTGACGCGCCACTGCTCCCATACGAGCCGCGCGCCGCTGTGACGCGCAGGCCTCGCCTCCTGCTCCCCTCGGAGCGCGCCCGCCCCCGCGAGCCAAGTGCGCAGACTCGTCGGCCCGGCTCCGGTTCTGTCGGGACGCTGCCGAGCCCGCGACGTCGCCTCCCGGTGAGTTTCTGAGGGGGCCGCCAGGCCTTGTCCTTCCGCAGTGGCCGCGCGGGCAGTAGGGCGCTGCAGCCGCAGTCCCGGCCGCGCTGTTTGGTAAACAGAAGCCCCAGCGTGCCCGGAGCGTGCAACCCCTCGCTCGGCCCGGCCAGCCCCGGGCGTGAACCGAGCTGACGGAGGATGGCAGCCTCCGGGGTGGAGAAGAGCAGCAAGAAGAAGACCGAGAAGAAACTTGCTGCTCGAGAAGAAGCTAAATTGTTGGCGGGCTTCATGGGCGTCATGAATAACATGCGGAAACAGGTACCGCCTTTGTGGGAGTGACGGACGCCAGGGGGGAGGGGGTCCGGGACTCGCGCCCCTGGCTCCCTGGGCTGAAACCGCGCCGGGCGGGGTCGCGGCTCTCTTGCTCGGCCCTCGCCCTTCCTTCCATTTTAGCACGCCGGCCGAGCTGCTGTTGAGTCGAGGGTCGCTTTAAACCGTTCTCGAGCCGCAGCGTCTCCTCGTCTGCGGATGCTGTGGCTCCCAAGTCCCACTCCTGGGGGACTCCCCGGGCTGGCATTCGGCGTCGCGTATCGGTTGTGTAACAGCTCTGCCCTAGTTATCTCTTTGTGAGGCGAGGATCCCTCCATTGGCGAGCCGCTCAGGTGTCGTGAGATCTTGTGCGGAGAAGCCCATTGGCACAGCCCAACCCGAAGCCCCCAAAGGGAAAGGCACAGCTGGCCTGAAATCAGCTCCTCTTAAATAAGGATCCCCGCCCCTCCTCTGTGTTAGCCGGGAGGAGCTAGTTGGAGACAAATTTCTCCTGTACGTGTTAATTTCGAGCAGAAACAGTCACCGATAATACCACGCAGTCTTTTAAGGCCCCTGTGCGCCTCTGTGATTAAGAGCAGCTCTTTGTTCTGTCTTTGATGTGTGGCGCATTAATGAAAGTCTTCACGTCTGCGAAAGGTGGGTTATGAAAAGAATGGATTTTAACACGGAGAATGTGCACTAGAGATGTTTTCTGTTTTGTTTTGTTTTTTAAATTCCATGACCTCTTATACCAAAGGGCGTAGGAAAGTCACTTGATTAATTTTTTTATTCCGTAAGCTTTATTTCTAAAAAACGCACATCTAAGGAGATGCGGGAATGTTTCTGTTTTGTAACCGTGATTCTGTTTTTAGAGAAGACAAAAGGATGTGCGTATGAATAATAGCAAAACCTCATTTGCTTATCTAGTGGTTCTCATGAGAATATGAAAAACAGGACAGGAATCTAAGATTTATATGAAGATACTAGCTTCTGGTTTCTTTAAGCAAACTCTGACTGCCGGGATCTTGTCTTTGTTCATCAGCTCCTGGCATGGTGCATGAATGCAGTAGATATCTGTCCAAATGCCTTTAAATCTTTCCAGGCTTTTGTGCCGAAGTAGCTGTGAACGTCTGAATTCAGTATTGTGTGTAACTTACTTTCATGTATCTATTTTCATGTATACATTCAAGTGCCTTTTTTGTTAACCTTTTTATATTTATAACACCAGTGACTTCATATTACTGGTGCATTTAACAAGTGTCTGCTTGTAAAGGGTGAACACCATTCACCAGTGCTCAAATTTGTTTCCAACAACCCTCCCACTCCCCCCAGATTTGTGGTTTTGTCTGTCCACACCAGCATGGTGAAGCATTGCCTCATTCCTTATGGAGATATGCTGCAACTAGGTTGCAGCATCAGTTGTTTACTTGAAAAAGAGGGGATTTTTCTGAAACTCTATGTTTAGCTCTTTGGGTTTAAAAATTGATTTATATCTGGTTCTTAGACTTAGCTTTAGACTACATTAACTTCTGTTTATTTACTGTTAAGCTAGAAATAAAGTTACTGAAAAATCAGGATTCTGTTACTGTTACTTAGTAGGAAGGGGAAAATAGATACTGGGTGGAACAGCTAGGGATCTCTTCCACCGTGGTTAACTGACCTTAATATGTTGGATTCTCTCTTTGTCAATGGCTTTACATGTTATTCGGGTATTCTCCAATAGAACTTCTACCAACTTCATGGAGTCCCGCATCTTTTTCAAGATGTGCAGTTTCAGTCGGTGGTTGATTTACATTGTACTTGTATTGTTCTGTTTAACATTTGTACCACAAGAGAGACTAACCAAGAATGACTGTCAAGGGCAGTTGATGGGAATTGGCAGAAACAAACTGGTCTGAGCCAGAAGATTGTTTGAGTGGGAACCAGTTTTTTAAATGTTCTTGTCTGTTAGTGAATATTATGCTGTGACTATTTTTGCTTCCCCATATGACCTCATTACTTTGGGAATCAAAATAATGTGTGCCTCAATGACAAGGACCCTTCTGGACATACCCAGGAACATTCTTACAGGAAGTTGAGAACATGGCGAAATTAGAATATCTGAATTCCAGTTCCTGCTCTACCATTAATTAGTTTTGTGATCTTAGATAAATATGATTTAGGTCATTTCATCTCTCGGTAGCCTGGCAGCCAGCTCTATACATAGTGGCCGGTGGGGGTTTTACAGAGCTAGCAGCCTCAGCTTCTTATGGAGCCTTTTCCTTCATTATCCTTGCAGTCATTTTTAGCCTTTTGTTTTTAAAGTAAACTTTCCAATGAAATATAGGAATCACTGAAAGGATACAAATCATAAACATGTAGCTCAATGAATTATTGCAAAATAAACATATCACCACCAACAAGAAATAGAACATGAAGAGCATACTAGAGGTCCCCCTTTACATTCTTCTCAATCACTACCCACCTTCCAAAGGTAACCAGTGTTTTAACTTCTATCATCATAGATTTGTTTTTCCTGTCTTAGAACTTATATAAATGGAATTATACGGTATATAATCTTGGGTATTGGTTTCTGAAAGCTAACATTGTTTTTGTGATATTTATTATGTGGTTCTGTGTAGCTCTAGTACATCCTCATTGTATTTAGTATTCCATTGTATAAATATATGACAATTTATTCTATCATTATGGACATTTGAGTTATTTCTCGTTTAGCACTATGAAGAATAGTACTACTTATTTTTTTTAAGATTTTATTTATTTGTCAGTGAGGGAGCACAGGCAGAGAGAGCAGCAGGCAGAGCAAAAATTAGGCTCCCTGTGTAGCAAGGATCCTGATACGGGACCGGATTCCAGGACCCTGAGATCGCAACCTGCGCTGAAGGCAGACACTTAACCAACTGAGCCATCCAGGCATCCCAGGATATACTACTTTGAACATTTTTGTATATTTTGCTCATGTCATTAGTTACGATACACTCAGCTTTAATAGATACTGTTATTTAGTTTCCAAGGCTGTGCCAGTTTACACTTATGCCAGCTGTGTATTAGTTTTTTACTCTACATCCTTATCAACACTTAGTATTGTCAGTCTTTATAATGTTAGTCATTCTAGTGGGTGTATAGTAGCATCTTATTTAATTAGGTTGAGCACCTTTTTATTTCCTTAACTTTTTGTTTAGATTAATTTTATTAATTTTATTACCTGATAAACAACAGAAGAGCTCTGCAAAGTAGGGCTAGGTCATAGTCACTACTTTTCATACCTAATTGCTTTGGCTCTTGTGTTAATGAAGTCTAGGAGACCCTTAAGGGTCAGGAGACTCAGGAGACCTTCCTGAGTACCACTACAGTTTACAGTTGCCTCATGTTAAGTGAATTAAAGCATAATTAGAATTTAAAAGCTTATGTTAAAGCCCTATTGAGAATTATGTGAGAGAACCAAAAAAGCTGATTTAAGGATTGGATGCTGAGCAGTCAGCTGGGCTTACTTACTAAGTAAAATGACTCAACTTCTGTACACTCAGCTCTTCAAGATTGTAAATTACTAGTAGTCAATAATCTTTACACAGTCTGTTGTGAATAATCTAAACCTTCTGCCTTAAATTCTCAATAATAGAAACAATTCTTGAGCATTTATTTTCAACCAGCTATTCTGCAATGTGTTTTACATGCTTTGTCTCATTTGTTTCCCCCAACAGCTCCCATTGACAACTCCCATCCTCCAGACCTTCCTATTTTTAACTCTCCACTGTCGTCTTCTTTCTGTCCACTTAGGAGTTAATCATCTTTCTCTTCACTCCCTTTCCAATGCCCCAGGCTTTCATGACCTTCCATCCTTTTTTCCCATCCATCTGATAAAAAGCATCGATGACTGTTTACCTTTCTTGTGCAAGGTTTCTAAGCACAGCTGGAAAATATCCCATTACTGGGCAGTTCTTTGCCAGGTAAGTCCTGTTTTCCTCTACAGTGAGTCCTCTCTCAGTATCTATACTTTCAGTATATCACCCCTTTTTGATACCATAAATAAATAGAAGACATTGTTTTAGAACTGTCTAACTTTTAAATTTCCACCACGAAATCTATATACTTATTTTGACAGTTCTTAATTTTTGTTACAGTGAAGGAGCTGCCTCTTTCCATCTAAAGCCAGTACTTTCACTTGGGCTTTGGCTCCCTCAATTAGCCTAGTCAGGAAAGTTATACTGTTGGTTATTCCATCTCTGTTGAGCATCTTTAACTTCTCCTTCTCTACCAGAGTCTAGCATTTAGGCATGTTTTAACTTCTCTAGTTTTTAAATTAACCATCCAGTCCAGTCTACCCATTCTTAGTTTCAATATTCCTCTATAAATAATACCTCTCTTCCCCCTGTTAAAGCCAAAGGGTGGGTAGATTCACTGCCCCACCCCCCTTTTTGGCTCACTATTGACTTACTTCTCTAGCTCAATTTGGCTTTCTGACTCCTCCATTTGGATGAATACTTACTGAGACCCACTGTATGCTAGGCATTTTGCTAGATTCTATAGTTGCAATGATGAGCAAAATTAGACAGTCCGTGCTTAGGTTTTAGTCTAGTAGGAGAGTGAGACATGAGTCAAGCAGTCACACAAAAGAAATGTAAAATTGCAACAATGGTAGGTATTATTAAAGAGAAGAATGTGATACAGTGAGGGGTTGGATGATTTGACCATCAAATCAGGAAGATTTCCCCAAGGAACTAGTAAATGAATGGAGAGTTGAAATAAGAGTACATGTTAATTAGGCACCTTAAGGTAGAGCCTCTTAGGTAGATGGAACAACAGATGCAGAGGCCCTGATTCAGAGACCTACTTACCATAGAGTGGCAAGTGCAGGAGGCTGATTCAAGACCAGTGTGGCTGGAGCACCAAACATTATGGGGAGGATGGTGTAAGATGAAACTGGAAAAGTAGCTAGAGACCTGCCCATGCACAGTCTCCTAAGTCAAGTTAGGGGGATTTGCCTTTATTCTAAAACTCCTTCAGATCTG